CAGTCAGGAACAGTTTAGCTATCAGCAGTGTGTTCCTACTAAATGGTACGTAACAAATGGTGTCCTACTGTGCTAATTAAATAATTATATATCTTGCTGCCTTTTAAATAATACTAAAGGCTTTAAATTCAATCACTTGAGAGTTAAATAATGCTAAAAACTAGTGTTGCCTTTTTAGTCTTGATTTGCCTTTCTCACATGTGTGTATGCATCATGCTAGTTTTATGTGGTAATTAATTGCAGGGTTTTGTTTTGAGAGGTTAACTACCACAGTGCTTAATTTTGAAACCAAATAGAACTTGGTTTTAACGTGACTGGAATGTCACAAGTAACTTTTTCTCCTGCCTTTGTTCTAACACTGTAGAATTGTGGGCTTGTAATGAAGATGATGACATCTTTTGTTCAGATGGTATAAACTGCTTTTTTTCCATTAGATCTCTTCAGTCATTAAATTCATGTTCAGACTAAAGAATTAAAGCTATTTGTGCTCTAAAGAAAAGTGGAGTTTACTAAAGACAAGGGCTTTTTTTCCTCTTGAAGAAAAAAGTCACCTTGTAAACTGTCTTGAGGATTTCATTAACTAGAAATCTTAAAAGTTAACAATATGATTTTGGTTTTGTAGTATACCAACTCATGTAAATGCTATCTGTTCTAGGGAGGTGCATTTGTTGTTTATTATAGGTGGGGCTGCTTGATCTACCTATTATTAAAGTTGCCTAATACTTCCTACTGTAAAGACCTGTTTTCAGTTGTTTGTAACTCAGATTAATTTTAGCCATGTGGGCAAAATAACTGCCTGTTGAGTGTTAACATGTTTAGGGGAAAAAATCAGCTAAAACCTTAATTTGCTAACACAGTGTTTTGGAAAAGTTCAGGGAGAACAAACCCACAGGGTGGGGAAAAGTGAAGAGTTTAACTTCACATCCGGACTGGCTCCCAGGTCCTCTGCTGTCCTGTTCGGTTTTTGACTTTTTCAATACAATGCCATTATGCAAGTCTCTTGTTTGGCTTGCTCTTTCCGTCTTTTTGAGTGAACATTTGTACTCATGACTGGCAGCAATGAAAACAAGTCTCTTTGGCTCCAACACAGGCAGCTGCAGTGCAAGCGGCAAAGCCCTTCCTCGCCGATGACCTCAGGGGTGACCTGACACTCTCGAGGAATGTCCATGCTGGCTCAAAGCGAAGTGTGTCCTCTCCAGCTGCTGCTAAGCCTGCCAAGTGGAGATGTGTGGTGTGATGGGAATTGCCTTTTACTGCAGTTGAGCTCTTTTCACTCAGTGAATTCTGAGCTTAAATGATCAGGTTCTGACATTGCGTTCCTTAAATTTTCCTTTTGTTCTAATATTATTTTTTTTAAATTGAGTGACTCAGACAGGCTGTCTTGCCAGACCAGTAGGTCAGATCTGTGGCCACAGAACTGTAAGTCGGGATGGTGTAACCTCAGCAGCCATGGGCCTGGGCTCCAGGCCTGGGGCCACCGGAGGCTGTCTGGTCTCCCACTCTTCCTCTGGTTCCTGCCTCCCAAACCCTGAGCAGAGGCAGTAGTCCAGGTTAAGCACTACACACTGAAATAAGACACAATTTTGTCCTCCTGCTCCTGCTTTCCCACCCCTGCTATGCCAAGGTGTTATTTTCTCTCTCATATGCTCAGCTCAGAAGCTCTGGTGGCTGACTGAGCAAGGCTGGAGGTGGTTTTTTTTCTTTCTTCCTCTGTCCTTCAGAACAGCAAAAGTTTCTGTTTCCACCTTGGAATTTGCCTCCTGTAAAAAGTATTAATGGTGTGTGTTTTTGTTGACTTGAGTGAGTGAAGTTCTTCACCTTTCCTCCTTTTGGGAAGACAGTTTTATTTTTGAAATAGGATTCAACCTCTTGATAAAATATTTTAGAACAATGTATTTGTTTGCTGTCTCATCAGTGGATGGTATTTTGGCTTCCTGGTATCCACAACTCATGTGCGCTGTCGCCTGGAGCGCCGTAACCCCGGGCTATGATCCCATCTTAAATTCGTCTGAAGTTCTCTCACACCGCCCGCTTTGGAGACTCCAGGGGCCAAGCCGGCGCGCCCGTCTTGTCTGCCTGCTTCCCCGGGGCTGGCTAGGCTGAGCTGGCGGGGAGCGCCCAGGTGAGGGATGCGGGATGGGACAGGGGATGCGCTTCCTTGGGAGCGAGGGCAGAGGGCGAAAGGCTTCAGCCGGAGAGGGCACCTCGTTCCCCCAGCCGAGCGCGCTGCCGGTAGCACCGCTGTCCTGTTTCTATAGCGATAGTTGCTGTGATTGCGGTGACAGCGTGCGGGAAATGATGGATGGATGTGTGAATGGATCAGCTCAGCAGGAGCTGGCTTAGACCGAGTCCCGCCGCAGACGCCACTGCGCATCTCCGAACGCGATCGCGGCGGCGCCGGCTCTGGGAAGCGGGTCGCTGTCCTCCCGCACGGGCGTTTCGGTGGCACGAGCCGGGACACGGTGCCTCCCCGTCCCGCGACCGCGGCGCTCCCGGAGCCGCCACCGTCACCTGCAGCGGCCCCGCCCGGCCGCGCCTGCGCTGCCCCGCCCCGCGCGCCCGCGGCGCGGCTGGCCGGGCGCGATGGGAGGAGGAGGCGACGGCGGCGGCACCGGAGCGGCTGCGCCGCGGGTGAGCGCGGAGGTGAGCGAGGGGGTGAGCGCGGAGCGGGCTCGGCGCGGGGCTCCCCGGGCGGGGCGGAGGCTCCGCGCTGCTGAGGGGGCGCGGCCGGGGAGGACAGAGGGGTCGCCGCCCGCGTACGTGGGTCCTTCTCCGCCTTCCCGAGGCAGCGGAGGGGTGAGCGCTTTCTGGG